GTGTTGGTTAGATCTCCTAATGATACTTACCCCTGCCCAGCTGCTCCAGCCCTTCCTTCCCCATTTCGGCTCCACTGATCTCCCCCACTTCGAAAAGGACGACGAACATGGCGGCAGGATCGCAATGCATCGTGGAGGGTTTAAGAGGCAGTATGCAATAGGCACATGGGAAATTAGCATATGTAGGCTGGGCAAGGGTGAATATCACTAGGAGACCCAATCCACCCAATGTGGGGGAGGAGTTTATGTGCCAAGTTTCGGGAAACAAACGCAAAATATTCTTGAAAATGTGAATTTTATTTTTTTTGTTGAATGTTATGAGTAGCATATGCAATTATTCTCCGAAAACATTTTATTTTTAGAGCAGTCAAATCCGTGAAGAAGAGGTGGAGAGTGATGAGGAAAGCATCAATGACAGTGACTCACATGGTCCAAGTGGGGTTCAAGGGAGGCAAGGTGGGAGGGGATGTCATGGCCGTGGTGGTGGCCATGGCCGTGCTGCAGCAGGTGGTCAGTGGAACTGGGAAAAATTCACTGGAGTAGAAATTAATCTGTCAGTTGCAGCAAATCCATTCCAGCCTCGAAGGGGTGTATGCAATTGGGTGCTGGATTGTGACCCTGTCTCAGAGTTGGAATTCTTCAATCTGTTTCTTACATCTGCCAGGAGATTAATATGCACAAGTACACAGAGCTGCAAACCACTCCAATATGAAATGGGAGCTGTAGGTAAAATCACATTGGATGCTTTCATAGGTATGAACATTGCACAAGGCATGGACAGGAGGTCTCACCTGCGAGACTATCGGAGCAAATGCCGTGGCTTACAACTCCATGGTATGGAGAGACTTATGCTCTGAACGAATATATGTAAATTCATTGGTACCTGCATTGTTGTAATAACAGGGATTTCAATCCATTGGCTAAAAACCGTGACAGACTTTTCAAGGTACGATACATAAATGACAAGCTTTCTGCATACTTCAAGGTATGAACAGTTCTGTGGATGAGCAGAAGATCAAGTGTCATGTTTCATTTATCCAATACATGCCCAAAAAGCCCCCAAAATTTGCAGCTGCTTTGAAGTCTACACAGGGATACGTAGAGAATACACCAGAGATGGGTTTGCCCGATCGAGTAGCAAATAACTTATTCGAGGATTTTTGTAATTGGATCTTTGCATAAAAGCAATTGGTCATATATCCTGACATGGGAAGTTCCTCCCAGGATATATCCGACCACTCGATATCCCTGCCCGGCTGCATCTCCATCCATCCTGCTGGCTCCCCCACTCCAGCGAAAACTAAGAAGTGCTGGGCCAAAATGTCTTCTCCGGCTTCTTCCTCATCCAAGGCTAAGAAGAAACGCCACTCTGATCCAGATCCGCCCCCATTGATGGTGACCCTTCAGTCCCTCTCTGAGGCCTTCACTTCTCTCGCTTGCAAGATAGACTCCAAGCCTCAGCCAGCAGCAACAGAGCCTGACCCAGATCCCCTTTTGGCCATTCCTCCTCCCTCACAAGGGGTGCCTTTAGAGGTGCAAGTGGCCTCTGTTCTCCAGCCAGACCAGTTTTTCCAGTGGCATCCGGCCCAGGATCATGTCGACTCTCTCCGTCCGGCATTGCACTTGGGGCGAGTAATTGTTATGAGATCAGACAAGAGTTTGCCTGTTGTCCATGCACAATTTTGTTTATGGTTTTGCCATGGTTGCTTTTCCGACTGGGCCCCACATAATGATAAGGTGAAATTGGCAAGCTCTTATCAACTTGTAATCTCTGCACCAGTAATGAGGAAGAGGTGCCCTGGACACACAAGAACCGGAACTGTGAAACTGCCTTGTTGGATATAGAGGAGGTTTTAATGCACATCAGCAAAATGCAGAAATTGAGTAAAACGAAAGACCAGAACAATGAGGTCAGGGGTTGCCAACACAACAGGACGCAATCACAAGTAATGGCATGACATCTTTTTTTTCCTTGAACAAAGGTTATGTTCCCTGGGGTAAATGCTCCTGAAAGTGTCCTTGACTGATAACAAGAGGACTGACATAGGTAGTAAATGAGATAATAACACTAACATACTTGGACTAAAGGAACTATTTGGCTACAAACAAGAAAATAACAGCAGGTCACCGAGGACACAGCACATGAGTTCTTCCAGGCAGTTTCCAAAAGGGGTGGCTACCCCACAGTACTTCATGAAGTTGCAGGACAGTGGGATCTGAAAGAAAGTGCTGGTGAGGTCAGTTGTGATAATGTGTTTCCACTGTGCATTCTGGCATAAGGTAGAATTGATGTCAGGCATGAAAGCCAG